CGCTATAACCACTAATGAACCGTCATCAAAAAAAGATATATTGCGCATGAGGACCTTCTTTTGTAGGTGGAGTTATTCGCGAATAGCTTTAGGCAGATGCAAAAGCACGAAACCTTCATCTCGATGTCTTGCACGTCTTTGTTGGTTTTGTCTGAGCTTTAGGCCCTTTCACTTGAAAAAAAAAGAAAGAAAATATATTATCTTGCAGACAGTTTTCGTCAAAAGAACGGTGCCAGGCAAAACAATTACCAAATTTATAAACAAAAAGACTAGCACTGCTACGCAAATCAACAGTCGCAATAATAAAGTCTGTTCCAAAGTAATAAGATGCTAAGAACAATGCATCTCAAGCTTTTTATACAACCATAATTCCTATACTCATCGATTGCCGTGAAATTCTTAGGGCCCTTTCAGCTACAGAAAAAGATGTAAGCACAAGAAAGCAATGAAAACTATGGTGCTTTGTGAACTAGTCCTATCTTACCAATTACCACTTTTTTGCAATCTATGTTGCAGTACTTCAAAAAAGTGTTTTTCTGAGGATGAGTAACAGTGTGTGGCGTAATCTAAACTTTTTATGAAAAGGCACTGCTACAGAACCACCAATTTCGGTCCAATCTATTGTTCAATGATCACTTCCCTTACGAAGTTTCTTTCTCAGCGTCCAAAAAATCTTCTGAAACCTCCCATCTACCTTCAATATGACATAGAAATCAATATGCACCTAAAAATGTTTTCTTAACCTTTTAACAACGAAACAGGCACCGAATGAAGTAATTCATAGAAATTGATCAGAACCTAGAACACCGATTTTTCCTGTAATTAACGATGGAGAGGAAAGCAGAAATACATGAAGTCCAAATAAACTCCAGTATCTTTTTAATATGTGCAAATACTTTGAATGGTCTGTAATCAATTGTAATTGTTTCTGTAATTACCATTCGTAAGATTTGACACCTGTCTTTCTGAATTTTCCCCACAAGCTACTTGTTTCTATCAGTTTTGCAGCAGCTTGGGATATTTTCTTGCAACTTTTTCTTCTCTATTCATTCTGCAACTACGGTGGCTTGCTAAACTAAGTGAAATGAAGAGGTTGTCAGACGGAATTAATTCTGCACACGAGGCAGTATGTACTAATTGAGACTTCTCAAAAAAAAACTTGAGTTCCTTCGAATTACAGCTGCCACAAATAATCAGTCATTTACCAAAAGGGCATTTTACCATGTCTTGCTACGACCATTTTTGCCTCCAAAGAACACTCTGTTGGGTAATTTCATCAAACTCTAAAATAACTGTACAGTTTTATACAGAATAACAACAGAGTAGTTCAATCACTCTCTTCATAGTGGACAGTTTTTGTGCTGATGAGGCTCGCACCACACAATGGATCGAAACCGGTTTCTGGGCAATTATTGTGATATTACGTTGCAAAGTTGTAAATATGATAGATTGCGACTGTAATAGTAAAATAAGGGAATGAGTTGTTAGAGTTGACAATCACTGTACACCACGAAAATTGATAAAATCTTCCGTCTAGACACCAATTGCCCTTAGAGAACCTAGAATCCTTTCACCTTTGTTGCAAGTTATCCACTTCATTTCGACAAAAAATGACGTTAGTGTCATTTATCTAGTTTTAAAGACAGAAAAAAACAATCTTTTTGCATTTCGAGCAAAAAGGAGTAGTCCCTAGCCACAATAACACATTTTATTGACTCGCGGTGATGTATGTATACTCATAGAAACTTATCTACCTTTTTCTTGTTATGGGATTGATATTTATTTTGTATATTCCTTCTTATTTTCAACTTTTGTTGAGCCTGAGTAATATCGGCAACAATGTACAGATCTGATATCGGTAAACTTAAGATAGAAAAAACGAAATATAGAGAATATTCCTAAGTCTCAATATCAGGGCTCGGCTCGAGGTGGCTAGTTGAAAATGCAAAAACCGAAGTCCCCCTTGACTTTTGCGAATTTTTACGAAGTCCTCTTTGACTATAGACCATAATCCTTTAGGAATCCCCAGGTAATGAAACATCTACCAAATAAAGAAACGTCGCAAATTTTGTTTCTTTTCGGCCAAGAAAACGAAACCCTCTTCGCTTTTTGTCCCAAAAACGATATCCAGCTTGCTTATAAGCCCTCTGTGCCGAGCCCTACTCAAAATCACTAGATCATAGAAATTGCTGTTAGAAAGTAATACTACCAGTTTTCGATATTATTTAATGCGATAAAATTTGCAAATTTCTATTACAAGTCTTGAATGAGTTTGCTTTATATGGAAACTTGACCTACGAAACCCTCAAAAATTTCTTTAATTGAACTCTTCTATTTTTCTATCATTCATTCTATTTTTTTCATCTCCGCGCATAAAGATACGGCTACAAAATAATTTAGCACTTAGTTGGAGACAACAAGTCACGATAAGGATCGTCTACATACATATGGCACGCGCACTTCGCAACATGTGACAATTGAACTGAGCGGAATTTTTACGTATGAAAATAACGTACTTCATGCACTTGGCTGGACACCGCCCTTAGAGTGAATAATGACTGGCTGTTTTTCACCGTCTGTGTTCAGCACCATTCCTACGATATCAAGTACATAGTCAATCATTCCAAACAATGCGTTGGTCATGTGGGTTAATGAAGAATAGCATACCCTCCTAGGTGTAGAAGGAGTTGAGAGTTTAAAGAAATGTTGAAAATTATGAAACTTTTGTGTCGCAGACTTTGGCATTTATCCTTGGGGCGCACAAATTTCAAATTGTCAATAAAAAGATTCCTCCCACTTTGATGCTTTCCGTTTATTCAGCAAGCTCGAAGATTTTATATAGGGGAAGAATAGTGCAAGGTCTGAAGATGAAATCGTTGATGAAGTAAGCCTAAAAGAGACGCATTACGGGCTATCAGCAAACTTGTAGATGTTGAACGACCTTTAAAATTTTTTCACCAAGCTGATTAGAGTTATTTGAAAAGTCCTCACATAAGCATAGATTACTGCATGATCTTCTGTTTTCGGTGTGCTTTAATTTGGAAGTAGTATCCTCTCTCTCTCGATGCCACTAATATAATATTAAAAGTTTGATGTCGTATACATTGAGATAGACTAAAATCACCATATATGTATACCATCCTCGGCATTTTATCTTTCCTTCATCTAGTATCCTTTCTACAATTCACTCATACGTTTTCAGGCCTTTCTTGTTTATATAGTGCGTTTCATAACTATACGACACCCCCCAAAATTTGAATTTCCGGATTTACAGAAGTGATCGTGTACTCCAGTCAGTGCCTATGTGATCTACGTATGATACCGAATAAAATGACATCTCAATCAATATGTCAACTCTCTTGCTTTTCTACAGGTAAAGACATGTCTATCTTTCCCTGTTTCATAACTATACGACACCTTTGAGCAGGACACTTTCTCCGAGGAAAAGAAAACGCGAAAAAGAGATTTTTATGACTAGTAAGGCCAAGAGACCTTTCTACCACTCCATCAAATCTATTAGAGATGCTTCTAACAAATTCATGCATGTCTTCGGTCCAATGTTGTCACATGCGCCCATAACGAACTGCTCCAACTTTTTCAATATTTCGTACTGTTGGTATCTGCTCAGAAACGCGGAGCAAGTATTCATCAGAGATTTTTTGAAGAAATCAAGACAAGGCAGTGTGGTCACCCTTACAGAAGCTGCTCGCAATGCTGGCGGAGAGCGGGGTAAGTGACCCTCGTGCATGTCCAGTGCGTTGTGCTGCTTCGAAACGTAGTGCTGCCACTGACGCTTTGTTAAGAAGATGACAGAAAGAATGAGCCGATGATTTGGTGGTGAAATCTAATCAAAAAGGTTTAGTTTGGGCGACTGTGACGGCAAGAGGACCGACTGGCTGGATGTAAGCAAAGTCCACTTCATTTTAGCTAGGGAAACTCTGGCGGGGATTACTTTATTAACTGGGAGCGTTTTGCGTGGTTCAAAAGCCTAAATTCATATGGGAAAATTTGCATGCAGATTGCCAAGAAGTATTGAAAATACAACAACTGTTCTCTTTCTACAAGCTCCGGTGACAGCACTACATTTCGAAGCAGCACAACGCACTGAACATGCACGCGGGTCACTTACCGCCGCTCTCCGCCAGCATTGCGAGCAGCTTCTGTAAGGGTGACCACACTGCCTTGTCTTAATTTCTTCAAAAAATCTCTGATGAATACTTGCTCCGCGTTTCTGAGCAGATACCAACAGTACGAAACATTGAAAAAGTTGGAGCAGTTTGTTATGGGCGCATGTGACAACATTGGACCGAAGACATGCATGAATTTGTTAGAAGCATCTCTAATAGATTTGATGGAGGGTAGAAAGGTCTTTTGGCCTTATTAGTCATAAAAATCTCTTTTTTGCGTTTTCTTTTCCTCGGAGAAAGTGTCCTGCTCAAAGGTGTCGTATAGTTATGAAACAGGGAAAGATAGACATGTCTTTACCTGTAGAAAAGCAAGAGAGCTGACATATTGATTGAGATGTCATTTTATTCGGTATCATACGTAGATCAAATAGGCACTGACTGGAGTACACGATCGCTTCTGTAAATCCGGAAATTCAAATCTTGGGGGGTGTCGTATAGTTATGAAACGCACGTATAATCATTCGCACACTTATTCATTCCTTTGTCATTCACTCATTCATCTCATTTCATCTCATCTCATTCACTCACGAGTATGTAATGCCATCAGTAATTTCACTCATTTTTTTATGGAATCTTCAGACACACGTAAAAACGCTTTCCACCCTTTGGTGCCATTTTTATACGCTTTTCATTTCTTTGAAGTCGATTTTTTCTCTCATAGCTTTTCCTTTCCCACACAGTTACCGCTCATTACCGAAAGGCGGAACCAGAAGTGTGAGTGATTAATGGCTAGTGGTCTCTTTTTCACGGACTACGAAGCATAGAACAATCACAATCGCTACCTTCGTCGTCACGCTCATCTCTTTCTTTACTATGAATGGCAACCTGTGCTTTAGCGAAACCGAAGGCGAAAAGGACGGTTCAAGTTTGGGCAATTGGACTCAGAGTGACGACTGTTCAAGCCTTGACGAAAACTGCTATTCGGTCGCGGAAGGACCGGAGAAGTTCCGGACTGGTTCGGAAGTTCTGCTATTGAGTACACTTCCGGCTGCTGCGCTACTTCTAGCTGAACATTTACTATATCCGGATTTGGAAGAGGAGGTAACAATGCCGAGGAGAGTTCGGGAGCAGATTTTGGAAGTGACAAAGACAGTGACAGTTACCGAAATTGTCAATCATGGCGCTGGCAAGCATCCAAGAGCTTGTGAAGTGACAATTACAAACTTGGAGTCGGATACTTCTCACCCGGTTTCGGTAAAAATCAGTCATATGCATGAAGGAAAGCGTCTTGACCATAATGAAACCGGTACTCAAACCCCCGAGGTGCACATCGAGGAGCAGACCTGGGATGCTATCCGGCACCCAGCTACCGGGACCACGAAAATTATACAAGAGCAGGAATCCAAAATTGAGCGCATTCGGCGCAAAAATCCCCCAGTTACGACCACCTTCAACCTTCGATCAGACAACATCATAGATCTACAGTTCACTCAACCTGTTCTGATCGAAGAAGCCGATAAACAGCCCAAGTCATCGACACGGCAACCGACTGCTAGTGCTGCTAATGATAAAACCATGTATACGAGTGGACCAATACATTCGCTCTATTATCAGAGTTTTTCCGGATCGGATGGCTTGTTAGAGGAAACTGGTGTTACTAAGGCTACTATTTCCTCTCCACCTCCTACAGCTGCTGCTTCTGCTACTTCGGTTACGGCCGCTGCCCAGCCTACTGCGCTACCAAGAAGTTCTGTTGTGGACGAAACTGATGTTAGTAATTTTTTAGAAAGTATCCTTGAATTTCAGAATAATGAATAGTTTAAGTTAAATCTATTAGTTTGGTCCACAAGTCTTGCCTCAATATTCTGAAAAGTTGTGAGCTTTTGTGTTTCCAACAAATTTGTTTATTTCAACATATTTAAAAAGAGGAAATTCTGCGCTTTCTAACATTGCTCAAAGCAGAACTCATTAAGAGCATATCACATATTACAAATTAGTTAAGAGAAACACTATAATTGCATCTTTTGATTTTTAGCCTCTAAAGCTTCCAAAAGGTCTAAAAAATCTAATTTCATTTTTCGTTATGGTTCTACGATTTATTCCTGTTAGCTGCGAAAAATCTGTAGCATGTTTCTACTAACAGTAATGATTTTCGAATTTTTTTAAACTCGACATTTCGACTTTGCTGCGAAAAAGACTTTCAATATGTATAGTCGACTAGAGCACTTAAATATAAGACACAATTTGAAACTTTTGAGATGTTTTTAGGTGAATTTTTAGCATTTTTTGGTGCAAGGCGTGTGGAGCAACCTAATAGAAATCATCACAAATCATCTGTTGCTAAATCGTATCGTATCTTTTGCCAGAAATTTGATATGATGATTTCTGTCGCTATACTAACATTCCCTCTATCACATATATTTTTCTCAAATGGTCATTAATCAAACAGAGGCTGCTTTCTCTACATGCGAATTAACAAATTTACTGATCGTGACGATCTCCTCGCCTTAAATCACCTTAAATGTTTATTTCTTCGAACGATTTTGTATACAGATTCGGTAAGATTTTTTGAACAAATTTTGACTTTTGAGCAATTTTTGTGCTTTTCTCATGTCCGAAGCATTTGCAATACTGCCTTTTTCGGATTAAAGTTATATAGTAATGGTAAATAAAATTTCCACATGGCATAAGACAATGCGAAAATAGTTCTTGTCTATTATACACATTTGATTATGAGGGCGTAATTCGACCAAAAATGCACTATTACAAAAAGTTTGCTACCACTTCTTCATTCGAAACGATGCCCGTTTACCCGCTATGTATGTTTGTCCGGTTAGCGCTGTAAATGATTTGTAGCTTATATGTTCAAACTAGCAGTGTGCACATAAAACTGTAAAACGGTTTGATGTTTTTGCTCCCACAAAGTTTACCCAAGGGGAGTGTAAGCAGCGGCGCCGGACTTGGTCAGAGAAGTTGCAATATAGTAGAGATATTTACAAAAGAAAAAAAATGAAAACGACCGAAAAAATGTTTTGGGTGATCTTAGTGCTATGGACTAAACATGAAGCTTACTGTTCCTCCAGTTCCAAGTGTTTCAAATATTTGTGATTCTGAAGAAATAGAAACATTTTTTGAGTTAACTCAGGCTGTAAAGGGTGAGATTTCAAAATTCCAATTACTGTCCTGTATGTTTTGACACTGAGAATCTACAATGTAGAGTTTTTGAAGCTTAATCAAAAATTACAAACATTTTCAGTCAGTAACAACCATTTTATAGAAAGTCAACATATCCTTTAGCACAAATGTGTGGAACTTGGTTACTTGAAAATTAATGAATTGTCGTAAGTTGTTTGGGTTATTTTATTGTTTTTATTGGAGGTTTTTATTAACGACAATGAGGCAAATTGCTTTGAATTTCCAAGTACATATGGTGTGCAATTGCACACATCTCTATTCAACCAATCTGACTACAAATAAGTTTTTTTAATTTCAGCTTGGATCCATGGCCAGCAACATATCCAGTGACGGTAGCGTCATTGTCTATGCTGATGCGCGTCCTCGTGGACGAGCATCGTCAGCCCAAGGATATTTTACTAGCTTTCCAGACAGGTAAGGTATTTCTGCGCCTACTTCTTGTTTTTCATCTCCGTTACCTTACTTGAGATCTCTTTATGTTATAAACGCCGTACTCCTCCCCCTTCCCTCTCCCCGATCTTTTTGTGCACAACCAATCTCTCGTATTGATGCTGTGTAAACTATGTTATTTTCAGTTTCTTTGGCCTTTGTAAAAATTTTTCATTCATAGTTTGGTCGAATCTACGTGTCTTCTTTCTTGTTCTTGTTTTCTAAAAATTCACCAAACTTTATTTCCACTGACAAAAATGCAGAAAATGAGGAGGAAAGGGGGGGGGGAGGAGAGGGTGGAGAAAGGAACTATATGGATATAATTTTCATTATTACTGCCATGATTTTTCAAGTAATGATGTCTCCTTTGTCACCATCCCTCCCCCCTCCTCCCGCCCTCCCCTCCCCCTCCACCTTCTCCCATACTTCCGAAGAATGCCAATCCCACGATTTTTTGGGCAAGTAACAGAAATTTTTTTTGACTTCGGAGCGCTATCTGAAATTTTTGAGGACTTATGAACGCAAAAACTTTTCAATGGTATTAAATTTATGGAATCATTTCAACTATATAGTAATAAGTGATTATTTATAATTCTATGGCTGAGGTAAATCATCTTGAAAAATTTCGGGTTTTTTGAAGGAAGGGGGGGGCGTTCTTCTTCTCTTCCCCCCCCCCCCCGAGTTTCTTTCATTGACTTCAGTCAATTCAGCGATCGTTATGGAACAGGTTTCTCGCAGAACTCCAGGAATTTTTGAAAGCAAATTCATAAGAGCAACCTCAAAACCATGATTCTTTCCCGTTTCAACGGATGTATAATTCCAAAGCAGCAGGTAGTCCCTGTTCGTGTCATGACATTGTTCCGTGGAATATGTGGTTAGTACGAGAATCAGTTATACTAAAACTCTTCTCATGTCACTCTCTTTGCCCCCGTCCCCCTACCCCTCCCCCTCCCCCGCCTCCCTTGCGCTTTCGGAATAAAATTTCGGGAACCTACCTTGACAGTGATGATGATGTATAATCTCCGTTTTCCACAGAATAATCCGAGTAATCACAGAGTAATGAGATCTAGTTCACTGGTTCAGAGTGAAATTCGATATTGGTATAGGTGTGAAATGGGACTGATGTAAGTTTCGAGTACAGCATTCAATATTTTTAAAAAATTTTTGGAATTTTCCTCTTTTTCTTATTTACTCCTGCTTCTGTGATTTAAAATTCCTACCATATTGTTTGAAAAATAGAAGAAAATCTCGAAATCATTCAATAAGTACTGTAGCCATCCGTAAAAGCAATTTCTGTTTCTAAACACAAGTTTGTTCAACTTTTTTCATATTTTCTTTTCAAGGCCAATACTCACTCTTTTCAATTGCAATTGCATGTTCTCTCTATTTTGAAAGCTCGTTGAAATCTTCCAGCTAAAACCAGAGACATTATTATCGGCCACCTTTTACCAGCTACTAAAGTTTTTCTTCCGATTAGCAGATCGACCTCTTAGCGAATTGGGTTTATGATTTCGCAAAAACCATCTAAATTGCACTTTAGTATGAAAGAGATCATGCGATAACGGAATAAGACCGTTGTTCTTCTTTTCTTTAACAAAATGTTGCCCACTGAATTGGCGCGCAGAACCATCAGAACTCTGTATTTTTCAGACATGGTTAATCTTTTTAGCAAGCTATTTTAGCAAACTAAAATCTGCTCTGTGATCTCTCAATGTTCAACGATGTCTGTCCTGCATCACTTTCATATAGGATTAAATTAATTTGATTGCCTTCTGAAACATTCGACAACTGATGACATTTAAAACATTCCAGAAAGCATTACCGTAGCCTTTAATCTTTCTTTTTCTCTCTCACTGACATGGGTGTAGTCCTTCCAATCAAAATTCGAACTTCCTTTTCTGTGAACAGCATTTGTTATGCATTGTTTGTTTTCATTTTTCACTTCTTCTCGCAAAGATATTTGCCAAAAGAATCACTTACAAAATGACTGTTTCGATAGGGAACACTTTTTTATACAAAATTGGGAAAAGGTCAAGGTGTTCCTTGGACTAAAGACATTCGGAAATATGTGGACTTGAAAATTACTATGGCGTACTTCTCTCCCCCCCCCCCCCTCCATGAGAAGTTTCGAAATTTTTGAAAATTACTCAAGTAAATGAGTAATCAAAATGTGCAAGGGGACTTATTCGGGCTTTTAAATAAATAAAATGGTTTTAAAACTTTTTTAGAAATCTAGATTAGCCTTTTAATAAATTTTTCGGAGTGTGGCTGAAGCTACGCCTTCTTTTTCAAAATTTCGGGGTTATTGGCCCTAAAATGTTGAGAAGCATCCTAAAAAGATTTTGGAGTGCGTGACTAACGTATGCCCCTTCGTTCGAAGAATATTTTTGTCCTCTTCCCCCATCCCCCCTCCCCAGCGCTCCTTCTTGAACGGAAATCTGGGACCGCCCTACTGCGCTGTTTTACATCAGTCTCATACTTATGGTTATGGTCCCACCAAAATCAAAAGAAATGAAAAATTCGATAGTGTTCATTTGGAAATTTATAGGTCATTGATGGCTAATTTTATCTTTCCTCGCCAGTAGAAACTTTTTCTCCACCTTTTGTTGCAGAAATCGAACCCTCTAAATCATAAAAAACGCAAGAATAGAGAGAACCCGTTTAGGTTCTAATTTGATCGTATAATCTCCGAATGTTTGATTTCTTCGCTCGATATCTGTTTTCCTTCGCCGATCGCATCATCAGCGAAAAAGATTCGGCTATCGCTGTTTATAGAAATGTAACTTTGACCCTGTCGTCACAGTGCTGCTCCCACATTCATCACTCGCGCCTTTTGCGCTGAAAATTCTTCCTTTTTGATTTCATCGTACAAAATCAACACGTGGCCATCTGTGCAAAAAATCAAGGCATTCCATTTTGAGAAAAACCCTCTTTGAAGGAAGAAATTCCTGAAATTTCTCGCGATGCAAGTAACCGACGTTGTCCTTGAAGTCACTACTGACCTTTGATGTATTTTTTAAGCAAATAATCCATCAAGTTGTGCAGGTTTTGTGTCTTGAAAAAATATTGACAGTATAGAATGAGATAGACAATTTTTCTTCTCCTCTCAATCGCTCAGTTTGCTCAAAACTTCTATTCAAGTGAAATTATTATTTTGTTTTCCAAGATCACTTCCCGCAAACCTATCCTTTTTATCCTTTTGTTGATTTATTTCGCTCAAATGAGGAAATCAGTAGGATTCCTTAGTCGTACAATTTCTTCAATATATTCTTATCTTCGTCTTCATTTCCTCAATTATCATATCAACGAAAAGATAGGGAAGAAAGTCGAGGTTAGGGAAGGTTCACGCTATAATTCGGTTCGTACTTTATGATTCAAGTGGCTTGGCGGCTGGAAGCCGGAGATTCGTGACATAATTAAGGCCAGGTAATGATCAGAGAGCCCGCGCGCGAGAGAGACGCAGACTGCGTTGCGGGCGCGAGCGGCCTTAATCAGGTCACAAGGCCCCGCCTTCCAGCAGCCAAGCCAGTTGAATCAGAAGTTATGCTTCCTTTGATTATCATAAATTTCTTGAGTGCTGTAGAGCTAATGGTCCATGCTTGGATGGTACTGCTGCTTACATGAATTAATCCAAACAGAGCCTTTTCTAAAAAAATTTCTCAGAGTGCTGTGGGCTTATGAAATATTTAATTGCAAGCTGAAACATTCTGTAGTGCATTTTTCAATTTAGAATTGGAACTCATTTGAAGAGAAGCTGATGACTCTGAGCATTTCCCTTTGGTATTAAAATCAAAAATTCTTTCCATCAAACAAGGAAGTGATGCTTGATGAGTGCAAGCATACCGAATATTTAGGCAGATGGGCCTTTATGCAATTTTGTTTTGCTGACTTGCGAGACGATTCAGTGCAAGAATGTGAACTTTTTCTTCGCATTTATGTCACGAAAAATTATTGGCAGGCAACTTTCATGTTTATTCGAAAATGAAACCATGAACATGCCAAATCTCAGGCCCAAATTTGATATTAAAAAATGTGGAGTAGAACCCCTTACAGATTATGATTTTGTAGATATAGAGCGCATATTTCGTCGACCAAAGGCCGAACCACGTTGATTGAGTATTTTTTTCCCAATAAGATAGTACCTTGGTTCAACTGGCTTGGCCGGGGCTTTGTGAGCTAATCGAGATCGCTCGCGCCCACAACGTAGTCTGCGTCTCTCCCGCGCGCGTGCTCTTTGGTCATGACATAGCCTTCAATAGGTCACGAAGCCCCGCCTTCCAGCCGCCAAGCCAGTTGAATCAAAAGGTTGTTACGCATAGATTTTTAGGGCATTTTTGCAATGCAAAAAACCTGCAAATTCAAAATTGCCCACTTGAAAAAACCAAAAATTCTGGATCTTTTGCTTCTGTTAAAAGGAGAGGGGGTCCATCTTGAACGGCAGCTGAGAGCTCTGATCTCGCTATCAGTGCACAGAAAGTTTACGATTGCTTCAATCAGAAGAGATTCACAGCCATTAATGGGCCGGGGCACTGTCTTGTTTGGACCTCAATATTCCAGCTCTCGCGATAGCCAGAAGAAAATCTCAATCAGTATTTGCTGGGTCCACATTTAGCATTTTTTTTTCAGATATGTTATAATGAGATACCTTTTTTGCCGAATGAACTTGAAAAAGTGAACAAAAAAGTCTTGTGCTTGAACTTTCCTCTATGGAGGCTTGGAAAATAAAAATAGATAAAGCTAACAATTACAGCAGAACATATTAGAGGGAACAGAATAGCGATTTTAGTTAGCATGCAAAGTTGGTCCCAAGAGGATTATCTACAGAAACAGGTTGGCTTGAAAATGCACTAACCTGCACCAATTTTTGGCCAATCTAATACTTACCTTAAGGAGGCTTTTCTAAAGACCCAAACATCAACTTGACTTTTCACTAAGACGCTTTTTACCATAATTTGTGTTTGATTTAGTTTGTTCCACTTTCACCCACTTGTTTATCAGTTCGAGTTTCCAACAAGTTTTCTAACTTGCGTTGATGGCAAGTAGCTTTGTTTTCATTGCTGCTTTGCATTACACTCTCGTTCTATTGCTGCCAACAACATGAAGATTGCTGTCATTTTTACTCAGTAAGGCTTTTTTCAATATTTACGTCATTTTTTCGTCAAATATTCAGGCTCATTTCGTGCGCACTTTTTACACGCATTTTCACTTCGTCTAATCCTCGAAATCAGTGCGTGTGAAATCAATTTCAAGAACCTGATAGTTTTTAGGAATCTGAATGATGTGCAACAAAAAGCCTAATAACTGAAAATCAAATGCATTTGAGAAAAATTTTTTTGACGCCTATTATCACATGGAAATTGCAATGAAAACTGTGATTATATATTTTGATGGATCCAAACGAGGACGTTTTCGCTGCTCTTCGTTTTCTTTTGAATTTGCAAATACTTTTTGTAATTTTTTATCATGAGATAAGTCTATAAACGTAGGTAGAGTACCATTTGCTGTTTGAACGACAGTTTTTTGTTACGAATCCAATTTGGACAGTTTTGTTTGAAACAGGAGGGGCAAACTTTCTGGAAACATCTTGGAAAGAGAAACTCCTTCTTCTTCCAACTCGTTACAGTCTTACAGTCTTGTCAGTAAAGTCTCTGATTTCTTCAAGAAATCAATCCTATTTTGGAAAATTTTACTGGAGAATCGCTGAAATCACTATCTTAAAAGGAACTTCCCATTCTCTCTCTTGTATGAACTTCTTGACTTATTTAGCTTCTGTTTTATAATTATAGCTTTTTTTACATATGTTATGTGGGTTTCTGCTCTTCTTTTGAGTTTATTTCTTTTCATCTGCAAAAGGAAATGAAAGAAACACCGTTATAATCAGTCATATCGTATTTTATATCCGAACTACTATTATCTCCCAAGAATTGCCGTAGCTGACACTTACTAACTGTTATTGGATTTCCTTCGACTATTCTTCGCTAATCAGAGATCATCCGTTAACTTAATTACATTACTACTCACTAATACTCACTAACGATTTATTTGCAGTCTCACTTAGTTAGTTAAAGTGAATCTGACTAAAGAGGAGTGGTTGCTGATTGTTTGTTTCATCTCGCCATCCGCTGTCAATTTATCATGTGTCACATTCTCCACATCAATCTACGCAGTTGGACTATGCGATCGCGCCAGTTTCATTCTCATTTTGGGAGTTGTATGCTCTGGCTGAGAAAATCCTCATTTTATTTTTATGGAATCTTTCACAGCTTGATGCGCTAAAATCACACTTAACCTTGTCCTGGAAAGCCATTTTGGAAATTAACTCTCAAAAAATGCTCTATGTCTTTGTCTTTAACTTTCGCAATCAATGCGGAAGTAATTCGAATTTGACACCGTCTTGAAAATGTCTTTCTTATGAAAAAATTGTTCCCTAATATTTTCTATCTCTTGAAATCCTTGCTAGCTCAATGCGAGAATTACTTTTATCGTACCATGGATTAGAAATGTCTCAAAAAATTCTTCTTTCGACTTCTATGAGATCTTTGACAGCTTAATGTGAGAATTACTCGTGCTTAAACTTACTTAACAGAAACGATCCCAACTTATGGTGGCGAATTGGAATGAACAGCATATCGTTAGATTCGTCCTGATGAGATTTCAAATCTACCTGCCATATCTGCGATGCCGTTCTTTGGACAAAGTTATGAGCGTTCAAATGTCCAAATCTGTCAAACATTCAATTCCACACCCCCGAAGAAATAAGTAGCTGAAAAACCCTTTTTGTCTTTTCGGTAAAATTGAGCATTTGTTGGCATCGGTGGGCTCAATATCATGCTTGTCATGCACTTCCAAGGTTGGACTTTTATAACATTATGCATCAAAACCCAACTGCTACACACTTCACTTGCTTTTGAATATGTGAAAGCAATGGGTTTTGCACAATGTAAAAATACAGCTTGAAGGTGCTTGACAAGCAAAATAATGAGTCCACTGAATCCAAAGAATGCTCGCTTTCACCGGAAATGCAAAGTGTTTTTCGACTAATAATTCTTGAGGGTGTGGAGTTGAATTTTTGCCAGATTTGGACATTTGAACGCTCATAATTTTGTCCAAAGAACGGCATCGCAGATATGGAAGTTAGATTTGGAATCAGCTTCAAGACGAATCTAGCGATATGCGGCTTATTCCAGTTCGCCGCCTTAATTTGGAATCGCTTCCTTGTGAAATTTTCTTCCAATTTTTTTCATACAGTGGCTGTCAATTTGATCCTAAAAAATTCATCTAACGGAGATGCCATTTCGATAAGCTGTTTTTTTTAATTCTCTTTCTCAAGAAGTCTTTGGCATTCAACGCGATAAAATCATATCACCGTGCTAATGTCGTTTTGAAATTTTTTTCCATCATCCTCTTTCGATCTTCTTTCGTCTTTGAGAATATCCTCATGCTACTTATCTATCCCATTGTACTATCACATTTATCCTATGAAGATCTTATTGATTTCCACAGTACAAAGATCATCCCTCCTTCTTTTTACCCCCCCCCCCCCCCCAAAAAAAAGAACTTGAATTCTGCGAATTTCTGTATGCTAACCGAAGTCCCATTATGTTTAACACGGAAGTGACTCTTTACAAAGTTTTCTTTTTTCCGGAAATTTTCTTTATGCATTTTACTCTATGACATCTTGAAAATCCGATTTGCGTCAAAAATTCTATTACATTTCATAGAGAAGCAAATCCCCTTTCCCCTTTAAAAAGACTTCGAAGCCCTACGAGATCAAAACTCGAAAGTTCAGCGCCACGAAGTCGAAAGCGCTGGAGAAGTCGGAGAGCGACGGTGGAGTGGCCACCGAATGGTCTGGTGACGACAGTGCTCCGAAGAAACGACCCGAATACATTGTCACCGGGAAAAAAGAGGCTGGAATGTAGGTAGTCCTGTTTCTATAACATTCGATTATTGGTTGATCCCATAGAAAAAGATGTTCTGCTGGACATGGTGTTTAGCAAGCGTCTAGACCTTGGGCGTGACCATATTGATGTCTGGGTATAAAAATCATTTCGCATCTCTTCTGGAAGATTTATTTACTCTGACATTGCCTGGTTTCCACTCTGTTGATTATTATTGATGTTCTATCACCGGGTCCATTATGGATTACGGGATTTTGCACAACTCTTCATGCCTAATCTCATTATTATAAAAAATGCTTTCCTAATATGAATATGGATTGATGAATCACATCATCGTCATTGGGGTAAGAATTCACAAGCGCTCTCTGCTAAATTTTTTCCCTAATCACTAAGGCCTTGATATGACTTCAACGAAACGTAGCAAAAGATTTTTCCTAGATTTTCCAAATCTATCTCACTTAACTTAATTTTGATTCTGTGGGTAATTCGCTGAGATTTGACAAATTTGGTACTATTTAGCAGCTCCACACAACTTTCCCAAAAATGAAATTTGTTCTCAACTCATCCTAAATCAGAATTTGTCAGTCTGAGTAAAAAACTAAGTTTGAAAGAGACTAAAAATTCCGAAAACTATAGCAAGTGGCATGTTCGCAATTTTTTGTTGAATATAAGAATACGATTTTAGAGCTTATGTTCTTAACATTCTAAGCTCTTTCTTCCACTGGCTATTGTTTACGTAAGCATTATGCGCTTGACTATGTACATGCAAAATTTCATTCCTTTCTGAGTCATTTCTTCTAGAGTTCTTTTTTCTGCGGATCTATAGGATTGCTTTTGGGATTAAATGATTCGTCATTCTATTAAAGTTCTCAAAATTCTATTTTACGGACACTTCCTGGTCGAACGAACTTCGTTTTCACTCGGAGAGTTTTGCCTGTGCTAGAAATGAGCGTTTTACGATTTTTGACAGGAATTTTGTCCATTCTGCAACCTTTCAGTAAAGGAACTAATGTCTTGCATTTTAGTTTCTATCGTGAGCCAACAATTCGTTGGATCTACGCTGAATTCGACCCTATGTACAAGAAACATCGTTATGTGAAAAATCCAAGAATTACTCGTTGTCAAATGAATGGTGCGACGGGAAGTGCCGAAATACTTGTGCATAGCCGAAGCGACGATGAACAGGTGCCAAGACAACTCGTCCGCTTTTGACAAGTTCACCACGTAATTTTTGGAATATTCTAGATCCCTGGCACTTCGAAAACGAATGGACATGCGATTTTTAATCGTTCAACATCATCTGAACCGAAAGATAATGGTGAAGTACCACCAAAACCGGCACGTACCGCTTTAACGCCTTCAGGAGACGCCACTAGTGAAAGCAGTTCATTTGCTGCAAAGTAGGAGATATTTATCGATTTTATTGATTGAATATATTGACTGATTTTTCAGTGATGCTTTCACGAAAACTAGTCCCCGCGACGTGGAAAGCGATAAACCCAAAGAATTTTCTCTCTATGCAAGACGACGCTCCACACCTCCGCCAAGAATGACGTCAACACCGTACACTAGTCTCGAGCGGAAAGACAGGTCCAGCATATTACAGCAAATTTTGTTGTTTTTCTCATTTGATGACATTTCCTACTTCCCATCTTATCGATCCTATTGCGTCTAAGCAAAAATTCCTTTTTTGGGGTTAGCGAAGTCTTGGGTGGCGAGAAAAGGTCTTTTTTTGCAACGCGAATGACGTGGGCTTTCTCACTCCTGTGATTCATCCCTATCCCCAAGCGCGTAAAAACTATAGTTTTTAGGCAAATTATAGTTTTCACAGCAGTTCCGCAGCGCTTTAAGGAAAGTACTGCGGAAGTTCCGGTTTTCCTTGGCTCTGATCAATTCCCTGCGGAAACCCGGCATTTCGGAGCGTACACAATCTCATTATTCAGAAAAGTGCTGCGGAACTGCTGCAAATTCTGCTTGTCCTGCGGAAGTTCCGGTAAATTGTCTGATTAATGGAACGCACAGTATATTACAATTGTGTTGTTTTCCAATTTGATATCATTCCTTCGCTATTTTCCTATCGATCCTATCAATCTAGTCCTTTTTGGGGCCGCAAATATCGCTCAAAAATGGACGAATTGGGGCCTAAAAATTTCCTTTTTTGGAGTTAGAATAGATTTCTTTATTCAAGCAGGAAGCGGATGAAATGCGCTTTCTCACGCTTGTGACTCACTCCCTTCTCCAGACACAGCTAAAAACCCAGTGTCAAATGCATTTCTCTCTCATTTTCTGCTAAGAATGACATCATTCAAGTTTTGTGCATCATCGCATAATGATATCATTGCTGATTCAATTCGTATATTCATATGACAGGGGTTTCAAGAAGAGTCCCATGATCTTCTTGCTGAAATTATTCTAAATACAAAATTTTTTCCATTTTCTTGGCTTTATAAAGAAGGCAGTGGTGGTGCGCGAGAACTAGTCCCCGGGGCCCAGGCTACTTTATTTTCTATACGCTAATTGCAATTTTACAAATCTTTATGCCGGACCATAGATGTTGCTTCTTCTTAAAAATCTACATTGCTTATTTCCTCACTGAGGAGTTCGCAAGGTAGGGAGAGCTGATTTCCATGCTCTTTCAATTCTTAGGTTAAATGCAATTTCAAACCTTTGCGCTTCAATAAATTGCACTTTTGTTCTATAGGGCTTATATTTTATCGGGGAGCTTCCACAAAAGAATTTGTATTTTTCTGCTTTTGTTAAAGGAGAAACGAAACGAAGAGAGAACGATTGGCCCTCGTTTATTTCACTGATAATTTTTCTCCATCTAGTCTTTGGCAAAATCAGCTTTTTGTTTTTATCTCCTTACTTTCTAATAGGCTTGGCAAGATTTTTCGTCATCATTCCTAGTTATCAATCTTGCATTATTTGTTTTTCTTAGTCTACCATGGAGAAAGCTCCACCCTTTCTGGTTTCATAAAAGATCATTTTTCTCCAAGTTAAATAATAGACGAAGTATTCAATTTTTGCGTTTAAAATTCTCTTTTAATGCCAGCTTGCACTTAACGAAGTCTTATATTCTAATGTAGGTAATTTGGAAAGGAGCGAAGGAGCAGTAGCACTGACTTTGACCTTGAATAGCGGAAATAATATATGTAGCACTTTTGCTTATAAGATCTCTAGCTCGAGTTCATGCGACATACTGACTGCTCACGGATGTGATTCTATCAGGTTGGCTAAAAAAAACAAATTGTTTTTGCATGAAATTTTCATAAAAACTTTTTCAAGTTGCTTCTTACCAACAGTTTTTCCTGAGAGAGTAGTTTGATTTTTTCTATCGCATTTCAATCATTCAGGATTTTCTATCATAAGTCGGACAATTAAACCCCGACAGGCTAAAATTCCATATGCTCGAATTTTAAACTTTCTAAAATTTGTTTTAATGCTGTAACTAATGGATGTGGAGAAAATTAATTTGGTATTTGGATACATACAAGTTTCTCCTGGTTAGCGAATTAAATAAAAATTGTATCTGGTAACAATTCAAAACTCTTTGACGAAAAAAAAAAAACAAGTTCATATTTGCGCTTATTAAAAAAATTGGGATTTCTCACTGTTTGCGGGTTTCATCCATAGAAAATAAACTAGTGAACCAGTAATTGTAAAGGTGCAAGATTTGCAGGCGCTTTCGCTGCGGGAGCCACGCGGTTTCCCGCAATTTTACCCTATTTGAATAGATGCAACCGATTCGTTACATATAGATTCTACCAAACAGAATTTGTGAGCTAATTTTCTTCAAAGACTCTTTCCCGAGATACACTTGGAGAAAAAATTGTCCACAGCATTTAATGGCCGCAAAAGCGACCGAAATTACTTAACCCATTGACGACGACGCCTAATTTTGCGTGGGACGACGCGATTTTGCAAACATTTGCGGCGCGGGAAAGTTTTGTGATTTTTTACGAAAAAAAATGTTTTGTAAGCAACTACAGCCATCTTCTTGGACGACGAAGTCTATAGATTCCAATAATGCAAAGAACTGGAAAAAATGGTGAACTCTGTAAAAAATACTAGACCTAGAAAGGATATGATTTTGCAAGGTGTATAGGCCACCGGTGGTCCACATCGTCCCTAGCGGCGAAAAGTGCGTGGGCCACCGCTGGTCCACATCGTCGTCAATGGGTTAATAGCCAGCCTAATATTATTAAGGTGTTTTCAAAGCTGTTTACCCGCAGCCATCGCTAAACTCCTATTCAAATCAGTATCACCTTATTACAGCTTTATATTCGTTTAACCTTATTTTCACAACGTTACTTCCATATCATGCCTCTTCTACTTTACTGAGTAGAGCCTCGTCTTCTATGGCATTTCCATATTAATCTCGTTTGCAAGTTTTCCGCTTCGGTTGAGAGAGTTTTGCATGAGCTGCATACGTCATTAATCGCAAAAGCTGATACGCCGTTCTTCGTCGTGCTACTTTTCGGTTCTTCGTGAAGATGACTCACATTCTCAAAGATAATGTGCTTTGCATGTGCTTTTTCCTTTGCATTTGTACTGGAAATGCCATTAGGACGAAGTTAAGCCTGATATGTAATGATAATCCGATCCATCAAAAACCTCTTTGATGAGCAATTCCGTGCATTAGAGCAATGATTCAGGCTGAAAGTTTCGCCGCAGCAATTTTCAAAAAATACATCCCTGACGTTCTAGCGAATTGGCATGATTCAAATTGTTGAAAGGGAAATCAAGCGCTCTGTAATAATTTTGAACTGTTTCCTACAAATTTAGGTTGTTACATAAGTTTTGTTACACTCGACTGAAAAAATCCTCATAACTTTGCCAAATGATTTTCCTTACCTCCAAATTATGCGTGGTGTCGTAGATTTTTGATATATACGTGTCACACATGAAAAATCAAATTTTAGAATTTTTTTGGAATTTTTTCGAATCAATCTTGGCAAATTTCCAACTTTACTCGTTGACGAGCTTAGACTTTCTAACTTCTTCAGTATTAGTACCAATGCTCCCAGAAGTCCATAAAGAATCTAAAAAGATAGAAAAGAAAAATAAGGAGGTTGGAGTGCCCTCATAAAGTTGCCTTCATAATTACTGTAAGTTATGTTGTGAGGGCATAGATGGCACCAGCGGATAGCCCTTTATTCCTTCCCCATATTTGCCAAATATGAGAACTTGTTGTTGCGGCTCGGTGGGCTCTGCGCCCCCTCACCTTGCGCTCGACTGCCATGCGCCACAGCTCCTGTCCCCGAAGGACTTCCGCGGTTGCGGGTGGGCCCTGCCCACAACGGCGCGTCACGCCTACACGAACACGAAACAAATAACATACATAAAATTTACTAAATAAATATACACGACAAAAATATACGATATAAACAAATGTAAATATACATACCACGGGGAGAGTTAAGCTCTACCCCGGGCTACCGATGGGGACTCTGGCTTACTCACACTCACACACTAACACACTCTCACTCTCTCCCGGCATCCAAGGGAGCTACCCACAGGCCGGCCGCGCGCCGCCAAGGCAGCAGCTACGGCACGGCAACACCGACCCCATGATGTTAACCAACAGCATCGAACCAAGCTCCCAACGAGTCCTGCGCGACCAAGGCGCTTCGTGATGTTCATAATTCTGGAATTCTATCCTCGCGCATACATCCAAACAATCCATCAACGATCCATCCAATCGCGCGAGGCACGGGGACGTAGACACGACGGCGATATCGTAGAAACCCAACCAATCAATAATAAAGGCGGCACGACGATAATAGTAAGATGACAAGACGAGAGAGCCGCAATGGCGCGCGTACGCGCTATTTATAGCGGTGGCTGGGGGCGTGCCTACGTGGTGTGGTCTCGGAGCGAACAAGGTAGCCGCCGTAAAGCGCGGCGACCGTGCTCACGACCGAGACGCGCGGCAGCACGGTGCTCCCGGCCACATGCTGTGAGGAGCGGTCGATCGCGAGCCGCGACACTCCCCCCACAACGAAAGGCATTGGGCGTTGCGAATAGGTGGTTACGTGATAGCACCGTGACCTGGGGCAACTGCCTTAACCTAAAAAATTTGGACGATGATAGAAAAAAAGGAGCATACGGCATCGGTAGCGAGGGAACAGGCAATGACCCGCCCCGTGGTAAAACACTAAAATAAACACAAACTACAGGCGCTATGACGCGCAGGTGACTACTAGAATAAACCTTGGCGCTCAAGGCGCTTACCAAATAAATATGGACATAGCTAAAAAACACTTCTACGGCTACCAGACTATTTACACCGTTTCAAGATAGACGTCCCAGCCCATAGCATCACCATCGCTCCATCTCGCCATCTCACCATCCATCACCATCGACCAGCGCTGATCTTGCTGCGCATCCAAACCGCATCACGTCCCTCGTACCATCACATCTAACCACTCTAAATACACTCATACGTTCATCATCGAGGGAGCGTAATGCCCGAAACAAAACTTACCACCTGCGAACCTACATGTCGCGCGTCCTGGAACGCACCCCTGAAACAAAGGAAACCTCCACCCTCTCTTAATTTTGAATTGATTTACGATAAAAAAGGCACA